ACAGTAATTACCAAGGTCAGAGACCACAGTGACATTAGCACAGCAGCTTGACAGGAAAAACAAACTGTTGTGTTTAGATGATGCTGCAACAACAAAAAAAGTTTTTTGGAGATAATAAACAGAGCAGGATGACATAAAAAAAAAACATTTACTATAATGCATTTACCATGACAAAGATGACTGGGAGCAGGCAATCTGTCTGACAGCTTCATAAACTAGTAAACATTGTATGATTATTCTTATAAATAAAGACGCTACAAGGAGATCAAAACATAATCCAACTAAATGATGAAAAAGTCTTATTCCAATCTAACTTTCACATTCACAAGTCAAGGAAGTTTGATGGTTAGAATGCATAAGACAAGCCAACCAGTTAAAGCGTGTTGCTCAGAGTTCACACAACACAGTCATGATACATGTTCGACAGTCAAAAGAAAGCGATAACTGCAGTTGTAACCGGTAAAAATGTAACTTGCTTTCAATGCAAGGTGCGAAAAGGTGCAAACTGATCATTTGCTTTGAACCTCTCCTGAACATGAGTCACGTCTCAGATGGCAAATGTTGTGATCAAAGCACCGAGTGGAGAGTTGAAATATACTCTGATGTTGCTTTATTAAGAGAAAACAAAACCCTTTGAGCACAAGCAGTCTGCACCGCTCCTGAGTCAAAGTATCAAAAACACATTTGCATAGACTAAGCTAAGGACATTGGTTCAGCTTGTACACATCCCAGTTGAAATAATGCAAAACAAGACAACCGTTTAAAAATGACAACTTTTATAAAATTAATATAGTTACTACATACATCCGCAACAAATCTTGATTCCACAGCAGAGAGGAGGATATTGGGTGATATGCAGGAATGAAAGATTAACTATACAGCTTGAATTTTCTGTTTACAAACAACATTTTGGGTTCCAAAACATTGTTTGATGTCAATAGAAATCTCATTTTGAGGCCAAAATGTTGCAGTGTGTATGCAACAGATGTTGAAACGATTGGCCTTGAAGTTAATAATTACACTTATTTAAAACAAGAAAAACAATGATGACCTTAAGGCTAAACTGTTTAAAGCATCACTGTTATCTCATAAAATGTAATTGAACTTGTTTTTTATTGTATTGTTATTAAAAATATTGCGATTAATTTAATTAATTTGTTGATAGTGTGGACAAATCAGTCGCAAATTTGTGGGCTGATTGGGAGCGTGCTGTTGGTTTTTATCTGGATGTTTTTTGCAGAAGTCGATGTTTAGACTGCATTTTTTTCACCTCTTATCAAATGCAAGATTTATGCCACTTCCTACGAATCACTAAAATAATATATTTTCCCACCAACACAGAATGCCAACATGACCTCACCTACCTCAACAGAGATTTAATCTGTCTGACAATTTGTTACCCATAAAGATGAAAAATCGCCTTTAAGCACGTGATGCAGACAACAAAAACAATATACGCCGTCTTAAGGCACTCCTTCATTTATGACAACAGAACAAAGTCCAAATCTCTCTTTGTCGTTCACATACGCGGCCGCTTACGCCCACATGTACACACCTCCCAGCTTACAGAATGGTATAATAAATGAGGCCATGGTGTTGCTTCAGCACCTGCGTCCAACCTGTAGTTCAGACTCATAATCTTTGCCCATGCAAAGATTATGAGTGAAGCTAGCCTGAGATAAAGTTCTTGGAGGAGCAGATTAAAGTTGTGTGAGATTTCTGGCACATCTGGAGCTGTAGCTGCACTTCCAGACTTTGCACACAAAACTTCTGATATTTCTTTCAAAAAAATTTAAAATGCTTGCAAAACAATTTGTTAGCAAACTTATATGAAAGCTAAGCAAAAATGTCAATTTAATGAAATGTTCTACAGAAGCAAGGAAGTGGAACTTCTCCAATTTTTCAACCACAGGTTTATCATGGGTTTTCTCTTCTCAACCTATTACATTAGTAATGACATCTTAACCTCTGATGAACTTCTGTTAGGACAGCATCGTTTCATTACTGGGATTTTTATCTGCGAAAACCTGATTTGGCTATAAATGTGATCTTCATTTCCAGAGTATCAAAATGCAACAATGTCTACCTTATACATTTAGCAGCTATTGTATATCTGATTGCTACTATTCATGCTGCACTGGAAAACTGTGAATAATTTATCGTAAATATATCTTTATATACATATTACGGTGTGAAAAATGCCAATTATTAAACATTGCACTTGCTTGCTGGAAATCCATAAAAAGGCAATATAACTTCACAGGAAATACACAAGAACTAGTCTTTAATTCTTCAAATACAGAGGATAAAGTAGATTGATCACATTTCTATTACATCATTATGTTTACTTATTAAACAGGAATATTTTGCTCCAAATTTAGAAATTATGCTTTTCATTTTAGTTTACATGGAAATTGTAATAATAATTTAAATATTATTATTGTAACAATATTTATTGTACTTAACAACAGATATATTGTAATTTATAGTCTCTAATTGTCATTTTTTACTGCCATTAGATATGAATAACAATTGGAAAGAAGGGAAAAGTTGTTTGGAATTTTAATGGGATTTCTTAACAAATGAGATAAATATTAAATAGTTAGATGCACCAACGAATTGGCCAGATATTGAAATTGGCTAATTTTATCAAGATAATAATAATCTGTTCTGTGATTAGGCAGTCAATTGTTGAAATACTTTATGTGTCATTTCTTCATATTCATGAAATGGATCAATACAAAAAATATCACAATATTCAGCCTCTGCACCCAACAGCAAATACTTATGTTAACTTTTGTTTTTAAGTGATTAAGAAATCTAGATAATAAATAATCAATATAGATATAGAGGTGTTGCTTGGGGTAATTTTATGATTTTTTTACGTCGTACAATTTAATAAGGCTCTCAGAAACAAGATATATAAAAATAAATCAGGCCTTCGGCTGAGCAGAAAATGGTTTCAGCTGAGAATAAAATTGAACAGAGTACTGTGAGATAAGAGGTGTGCATTTAACAGTTAACAACATCTGGTGAGTACTAATCCCCCAGGATAAAAAAAAGGAAAAAAAAAAGAAAAACATCCGTGGCTGACTCTGATCCTTATTGCTGAGTCACAGCTGTCATATTTGCGGTTGGTCAGATAGCAGAAGTCCCTGAATGTCGATCATGCTACACAAATTCCTCATGTGACAGAATAACCAAATATTAACTGCACTCACCTGAGGAGAAGTTGTGACCACTTAGATGGTTAAAATCTCTGCCTGGAGTTTGCATGTCAAACTCAGACTCGCACTGTGGCCAAGAGATACACTCTGGACCGACACCTGAGTGTGTGCCAGTTGTCAGTGCTTTAGCCGCACCTCCTTACTATCACCACCCCCAATTTGCACGCCGCTACGAGGCTTGTTACGCTGCAAAAAGTGTCCACCCTCCCCTCTTAACTGCACCAGGTCAGTCTAATTAATGTCAATAAGTGGTTTATTATACAGAAGCGTACAACAAAAAGAGATTCAGTGTTAAATTGTTCCTAACATTTTTTATTCCTCCAGAGTAATCTAAAATAATGACTATTCTGTTTGTTAAATGACGCGAGAAAATAATTGTATCAAACATTACACTTCAGAGCATGATACTCTTTAAAGCTATGACGCAGACATTATGAATACAGCTGACTTTTTCAGATGGTTTTTGCGTTTTATCACCTAGTGCGCAGCCACAACACTCACAGCCCAGCATGCCCTGAACCGAGCCGAGGGTGACTGACCTGATCAGTGCGCTGAACCGCAGAGGAGACAACCGGCTCGCTCTTGCTGAAGCTGAATCGGGGTTTTCCTCGGACTTACAGCTTTAAAACTCAGGAGCCCAGGATCGGACAGAAGCACAGAAGCGCGGCGGCGCACAAGGTGGTCTGGACTGCTTGCCTATCTGCTCATGCTGCTGCGGTCGGTGTGCGCCTTCCTCTCTCTCTCTCTCTCTCCTCCCTCCGATCAGAGCAGTCTGATGGGATCCAGAGGACACAAGCATGCAGAGGCATCGAGTTTCCCTCCACAACTCCGATTTATTTAACCAACCGCTTAAACGGATGTTGTCAACTTAAACTGGTAAAGTAGAGACCAATTTACGGAGTTGTTTTTCTGTTTTATATAAGGCTGCTAATTTTGTAGAAAGTAAAATAGGCTACTTTGCACAATGTCATTTCACAGTTGGATGTTTAATTACGTTTTTTTTTAACTGTAATTGACAATTTTCTTCATGAAACTTTGTATAGTTACACTTGCTGTTAAAACTAAGTTGTCTACCTTGATAGATGTTTTTTTTTAAACATCAGTGGGCTTACAACAGTTCATGTATTCATTTTATTGTTGAGTGGGACAAAGTTTAAATTCTCAAGTTGTGGGTTCAATGTGAAAAACAACCTACAGAATTGACATCAAAAAATTGAGGTAACAATCTGCACTTCATTCAGTTGGCTACATGCAGCCTAACATATCAGGCTACATGTTACATATTAGTAAAGAGTATCAGCAGCTGTGAAACAGCAAAAATAAATTTGGTAAAATCTACAAAACATTTCTGGATACATTTCAACACTAATTAGCGTGCAAAATTATTTGAGTAATAATGCTTATTTTTTTGTTGTTTATCTATTTACTAATTATACCCAGTACATCATACTAATACTAAAAGTTCCACAGAAATGCATTTCAGACAACAACAGTTCAGATCGACCTTTATTTAATGAACCTCATGGTCAACAACCAAACAGCGGACTTGTCATACATCCTCAATTTCAAGCAGCTTGAAATGTGGCACATTTTAGCTGCCAATATAGTTGTGAAAATATATATATATATATATTGTATATATATCTTGAATAGCTTCTTCACGCTGCTTCTTGGCAGGGTTGCACAATCACTGGCAATCAAAAATCTAAGTTGTCGGGTGCATTATGTTTTGGTTCGGATTCCACACAGGCCTCATTTTCCGTCGATCACAGCCGATAATTCTGCATACGTCCACCTTGGTTGCAGGTTTATGAATCTGAAGCATCTTCATGGTGTGGTCCATGTGGTCCTCCTGTTCGTCCGTTATGTTAAGGGTGGAAGAAAACAAAAAGCAGGGATTCTTTTAAATACACCTCTCTGTTTAATTCAGTTTTATTGGTAAACTGAAGCTGAGTTTAGTGTGGAAGAGGCGAGGAAATTTTAAATGAGAGGACAAAAAAAGAGGGAAGACATCATACGAATATCTTGTTCATCAGTCATTTAACAGCATATCTGGATGTCATGGAAGATTTCTTGCTTGTCCCCAATGAGGTTGTGACGACAAACCCATTCCTTTTTTGTCCCCCAACTTTCTGGGATACACAAGTGCAAATTTTGCTTAGAACAAATAGACAAACTGCCCAACAGGTCACACATGTTGAACACATTGCCTCGATTCAAAAAAGTAACTGAGCAGTAACTGAGCAGTTTGTTGGATATATATACTTTATTAAATAATTTTCTAAAAATAGTATTTTGACTTCTAATGGTGTAACGTTACTCTTGTGATTACAACATTACAAGTGTAATTGCACAATCCTAATTTTGCAACTTTACATTTACAGAAGCAGCATTACCTAATATAAGCACAGCCTCTCTCACACACTCTTTGGCTTCATGTCATTACAGAGCATCTTCTTTCAATAAACTAACAACAAACAAAAATACGGTAAATATAAGGAACATGTAATGTCAAAACCGATAATGTTGTTACCATCACATCGTAATAAACAGTTAGGGAGTCAAGACGTTTTGGTGCCAGTAAATACTTGGCACCAAATAATGCAGAACAAGTTCATGCAAACCAACCATGGTGCTACAACACACTTTTGTTGACTGTTTCACATTAAAGTTACATCTACCAACCATCTACCCCCCTTTAAGTCTAATGGTTCAAACAGCAACCCCCCTGAACTTCTCTAAACAAGCAAACACAGTCACAGGTTCAAAATTTCTGCTTCAAATGTATAGATGGTTAATTACATAAAGCACTCTGACAACTCCTGTTAGCCATACCAAGTAAACATTTACAAAACAAATTGTAAATAGCAGTTTTACTTACATTCAATATGGCGGCTCCAGAGTAAGTGGTAGCAGTTAATGCCATGTGTAGGTACTGCTTTGAGGGCCAAATGTGTATTTTCTGACCCAGAATATTTGGGTAAGTTTTATATTTCCTTTCTTACAGTGTTAGAGCGTTAATAAAAAAGTCCTCCGGAGTTGCAGTTCCATGTGTTCAAGGGTTTTGAAATTCATTTTTGGCTGTCATATGAATAAACTTTTGCCATAATCAGTAAAAATATTATATCTTTAACATGCTGTTCCACACATATACTTTTAGCAAAAAAGTATTTCAAAGTAAAAAGAAAAATATATTGTATTTAGCTGTGATGGACTGGCGACCTGTCCAGGGTGAACTCTGCCTGTCGTGCAATGACAGCCGGAGATACGCACCAGCACACCTCCTGACCCCAATGGAATCAGGGGGTAAGAAAATGGATGGATGGATGAACATTGTGCTTAGTCCCCAGAACCAGAACCAAGAGAGGAGAAGCAGCTTTCAGCATCTATGCACCAAAACTTTGGAACAAACTTCCAGACAACTGTAAAACAGCGGAAACCTGACTGCTTTTAAATCGCAATTAAAAACACACCTGTTTAGAATTGTTTTTGAAATGTAATATGTAACAATGTATTGTCTATTATATGTTGCATGATTTTGTGTTCTTGTGTTTATGATGTAAAGTACTTTGAAATGCCTTGCTGAAATGTGCTATACAAATAAAATTTGATTGATTGATTGATTGATTAGTTTGAGTTGCTCCTTTAGTCACTCCCTAATTCAAATTTTGATTTCAGAGTTAATTTGAACACAGCAAATGGAGCCATCAGCATTTGATTTTGGATAACTATGGCAGCTCCAATTTCTGCAGGGAGTTTTCCTTCAGCTTGAGTAGTTTTTATTCAAGTCAGTTCGCTCATCAGAGTTAATTCTTTCATATTTATTATTCCGTTAATAATTTTGCCACATTTTCTACCGAGCACCAATAAGCAGAAGTAATTGTACCACAGTTTGAGGACCATAGTGTCAGACTGTGTGGACAGTACAGACAAACAGAAATATAGATCATGTGTAACATTAAACAAATTTAATTTCTAACCCACTAGTCTACTATGAGACTAAGAAGAACACTCTCTATTCTCACTGCCACCTTGTACATGTAACAAAAACTTTATTTAAATTTATCCTTTACTGCAGTTGTCAAGTCTTATACTAAAATATTGTATAAACAATTCTTTAATTTGTCTATTCATTTGGGAAAATAACCCACATTAAGAAATTCAGTTTCTTTTTTTGTTTCCTTTTTGCAGTTCAGCAAAAGCTGTAATAGTTAATGCAGAATAAATGGAACTGAAGTGTAACACTTTACCTGTTCAGATAACCTGAATGGTGATGAAATTTCAAAATGACCTTTTGTTTCTCTAAATAAGATACTCCACAGAGACCACATCTCATATTTCACTCACCGACATGGAAAAAATCAATGAACCTGAGTCAACTAGGTTTGTGTTAATCTGCACACATATATCGGGAAATGTCTCCATCATTCAGTTCCCTCCTACAAATCTGCACATACTTGTAGCATTATGCATTTTTAAAAGGAGGGCCAAGAAATTCTTCTGCTTTTTGTAACTTATTATATGTAAACTTTAGCTATTTATTCTTTGTCTTGTTTACACAAACATGATTAAAAACAAATATTTATTTATGTATTGAATCTGTTAACTGCCAACACCTGGCACTTTGTGCTGAGTTATTCGTTCTAACGCAGGGATACATAATCAACTTTTGACTATAAATAAAGGGATATTTTACTTTTTTAAGGAATCTATACTAGATTTCATAATTTTTTACTTCTAAACTTCTAAAATTGTTAAATCTTAACAAATGTATTGGTTGTTTAAAGAATCCTACCATTAGGTTTGTGAATCATTAAGTATCAAAATATGCTTTTTTGAGCTTTGAGACCATATAATCCCACAAGGTTTTGACTTTTGTTTGTTTTAAACAAAAAAATAAGTCACACGCTGTGTTTCTAAAAGTCTGTAATCCTTGTAGAACAAACTAGTCCCATTTCTTTTATTTATTTTGGACCAAAGTTAACCGAAGTCCAGATTCCTTATAAGGAGTGGAGTTCTTCATTAAAGTGCTGAGTCAGAAGCTGTAAATCAGATCCTATCTTCAGCGCCATAATGTAACAAAGGTGAACGTAAATATGCAGCTAAAGAAAAGATAACCTGGATAACATGCAGGTGAATTTTATCAGAAAAATGTCATAGAATGACTTTATTGATGTAAATTGAACATAAGGTTGAACATTCACACCCGTTCTTTTTGCTTCACAAGAGACGAGCTGAGAACAAAAATCAGATATTGAATAGCATGCTGCCAGAGGGCTAAAACGCTAAAAGCACCGACATGTAGTGAAAATATTCAAACATCTAAACAGAAGACAGCAAAGGCAGGAAAACAATAAACCGTTTTATTGGATGTATTTTGGACAAGTTAAGGCTCCACTCGTGCTAATACCATTAAAAATGAATACAGACTAAACTCACTCTTTAAGTCAGCAGTTCCGTCTTACTGTACCTTTTGTTGATTGATATGAATTAGTTATATTAACTATATAAAGGAGATGACAGACTATAGATACTTTTATACAACTAATACACATTTGAATATTTGTTATCCTCCCAACCTAATAGATTAAGCTATTAGGTTGTATGGCAGTAACAACATCATACGTTCTGACTTCTGCCAATATTTGGTGCTTTGTTCATACAGGAATTTATGGTTTTTCATAGTTGTATTGGTTTGTGATTAAGTTGTTAAACAGCAGCTGATATGTGACATGGCCATGTTAAAACATTTAAAATGTTGAATTTGTATCTTTTACATACCCTTTATAACTCTGATTTAAAAGTTTTTTTTTAGAATCTATTAAGATCGCAAGGCATTTATGTTCTGTTCTAACTTCACAGTGTCTGTTTGATCTAGAGAAGAAACATGTGACCTGTTTTGGTTGCATTGGGTTTTAGGCAGCATTGATTTACCTATCCTGAGACTTAAGCCATAGTTTATGGTAGATATTCAGTAAATTGTGTTGTTACCATGGGTAGGCCTATTATCTGCATGCATTTCAGTGTTGGTATTTTTGACATACTGACAGAAGATCATTTATGTAAAGAGGAAAAAAGTAATGGCCTTAAAATATGTCCCTTAAATAGATTGTGGGGTTGTCACTATCTTAGTTAATAGCTAATTGTGACTGAATTGGTTATCATGGTCAAATCAAAGACTTTATCTTGTGAGAAATATGTCAGCAAGCGCCAAAAGACTTCTGCTCAATGGACTTGTTATAAATGCTATAGCAGATACATAATGACCTTGAACAAAGTCATTATGAATTCAAATGACCTTGTAATTCATTTAGGGCATTCATTTAGAAAAAAAGCAAAAAAAAAAACAACAACAAAAACTGGGCTGTTTTGAGTTGAACCACAAGTTGATATGTTTGGCTTGCTTGCTGAAATAGATCTGCTGTCATGAATGATCTTCTGGACATGCATCTTCAGATGTGACAGCTGTTTCCTAAACTGTCATTTTGCATCCTCCTTTATCGCTTTATACTGTCTTTCATTTGACGGACTTAAATTAACCTCCAGCAGAGCTCGCTTACTCATTTCTATCCCCTAACCAGACTCTGCTGAAGGCAGTGGGTGTTTTTGTACTCACATTTTGTTTTCTGCTTACCTATTTTTGAATCACATCTTGCACAAAACTTTTTTAATCAGTGGAAACTTCTCAGTGAGAGCAGCAGTTTGTCATTAGACTACAAGATTTACCCAGGAGGAGTTTTTTTTTTATTCATCCAACTGCTTGTTCAACACATTTTAAAACTCTTCACATAAAATGTGGCATCATGATTATACTTACAAAAGGGAAGACGAGGTTGTAGATTCTGGTTAGATTTGGTTTTAAACTTCCTGTGGTACAGCAGCACACAACAACTGCAAAAAGCAACGAAGCAGCACTGTAAAAAGCAGGTCTCTCAAACCAGTAAGTTCAAAACCCCGTAAAACATGTCAACAAGTATTTGCTCCCCACACATTTTTTCTTAAAAAAGGTCACATAGACTATAAATGATTCAGAATATAAAACAAATTGTTGTATCATACAATTGTAACACGGGTTAAAATGTTTAAATGTTAATTTCTTTTATTACAGGGAAAACAACTTCCAAAAGAAGCTGGGCCTTTGTGATAAAGTATTTACCTTTGAAACTTAAACCTGGCTGTCCAAGCGTTAGCAGCAACAGCTGCAAACAAGTGTTCTTGATCGCTGACTAGAGGTTCTTATTTTACACACATAATTTCTGTCCCACCAGTGGCCTTCATTGACAATAGCCTGACAGGAAACAAGCAAGTAGAAACACAAAGTAGAGTCTGAAGAACTGGAATCAAATCCCAAGTCCAACAGTCTTAGGGAGCCTACTTCAATCCTGCATCATATTACTTCGCTATACAGATATTTGGGCCCACTCTTCTTTGCAGAATTGTTTCAAATAAGCCACAATGGAGTATCTACAACCATAAATTTACTCTTTAATGTAATCTCAATCACATTTAAGTCTTTGACTACGCTGCTTCTAAACTTTCCTTTTTTAAACACCTTCCAAAAAGTTCTGCAATAAATAAATAAATAAATAAAACATAAATCCAAAGGATTTGGAAATTGGCAAGTGTAAGTTGGACCAACTTCTCCTACTTTGTGTTGTCAGGCAGGTTCTGTTTAAGTAATATTATTTAATTAATTTTCACTGGTGTTTTTAGTGTAGTGACCTGAAACTTTTAAATGTTGAAAGGAATAACATTTATTCCCAGCTTAGCATGGTGACAATGCATACTTATTGTTTTGCAGAATTCACAACCAAAGGAAGAAGTAACAATTAAATGTCATTAATGTAAAATGCAGGATGTTAATGTAACTTTAATTGTTAAGTTTGGTCTATTGCACCCAAAAAGATGAACTGTTACATGAAGTTGGAGGACTTTTTACATGTATATCAACTTAATATTAAGCTACTTTGCTGAATCTGCTGCAAAACTAAACTTGAATTTAAGGCTGTAGAGTTTCACATTTCTCAGGAGAAACTAAACTTAAATCTCCTAATTGAGTGTTTCAGCCTGTTTAAAGTTGTCATTAAATGTAATTTGAGAATTGATTGAAAACAGAGAAGTACAAATGTAAGTTCTATTTTCCACTTTGTTGAACTCAGCTTGATTTTACTTTTATTTATTCCTTCTTAATTTCTTTAGACAATCGCCCATATTTGCTTACGCATTGTCTTTCTTTTTCCCACATAGTTTTTAAAGTCCTGCCCACGCAACATTTCTCTATGCTGACTAAAAGAAGGAAATACAATCACACTCTTGAGAGTTTTGCTGGTCACAAGCAAGGCTTAGCAATACTTTCTCCTTGTTTAAACATTTAAGTCTCAGAAGACCACAACTCTGGTATCTGACGCCATTCATCAACAAAATGCCTTTGTATGTCCACAGGATCATCCTATGCTGTCATTACACTGTAATTACTATGACATGGTAAAACCTGTAAATCATTATGCTTGGGAATTAAGTAAGCTCCTCAGGTTCCCTATAAATGTGTTAAGTTGTAAACAAAATAGTTTAATACTTTATGAATCCCAAAGGATGTTACTGTAACTCCTGTCATCCATCTTCAAAGAGTTGTAGATGCTGACGGCTGAGGGCAGGAAAGATCTGTTGAAGCTATTCTGAAGAATAACTGAAGACACTGTTGTTGTAAAACTTTCTCATGTATAGCATGCTCAGGGTTTTCCATGATCTTTTGATTTTATGAAGAAAATTACTCTGTTGGTTCCAAAGGAGTCTCCAGAACAGAATCAATCTTCTTCATCAGGCTCTTGAGCTTTTTTTAGTCATTGATTCAGAATTGATCTCTTTCTCCACAACAACCTTTTAGAAGACATACAGAAGTACAAACCTTGAAGGAAATACTGGTTTCCACAGTATTTAAGTCTGCGGTATCCATTCTTTTAGATGGCTTCACTATTGCGACTTCAGTTCAGTCTGTTGTCCAGATGACTCAATGCCGAGGTATTTATACTACTCTACTACATCCATTGTGATCTATTTGTGAGATAGTCATTGATACAGGATCCAGGTGAATGTTGTCTCTTGAGATTCTGACAAAGCAAATCAGACAAAGTTGTAATAAATGCACTAGAGAAATCAAATAACACAATCCTCACAGTGCTTCCTGATTTGCTCTGACGAAAGTGGGTTTGCTGAAGCAGGTGTATGATGCCATGTTCAACTCCAACTCCACAGCAATACGCAAACTGCACAAGGTCCTGATATGTGGTTGTTTGCTTACACAGGTCTACAGGAGTCTTTCCATGACCTTTGGCATTGTCGTTGATGACTGATGGGTGGGTCTTTTTTGGTACCAGAACAAGGCACTAAGTTTTCCACGACAACAGAACCTTCTCTTGGATCAAACCAAGGTTGAAGAGGTGTTATAACAATGTTCCAGTTCAGTCTCTAAAATGCCTCTTAACTTGACTTCTAAATGCAGAAAAGTGGGAAGGAAAGAGAACAGCAGCATCTCCTGATTTGGTTGAACACAAACTTATAGAAGCAGATGAACCAATGACTCAGAACTTTTCTTTGACCTACAGAAAAGCTATGGGTCAAAGGAAGGTGGGATGTCTGTCTGGGAGCAGAAGAGGATGATGATGAACTTGTTCCAGAATTGAACACGTTGAAGAATGTGTTCATCTCAGTGAACTGTCCAGAGTTATATCTATCTGATCCCCCTTTTGCTTGAAGCCTGTGAACTTCCCTGACCACACATTGTTCCTCTGTACTTTGCTGTTCAGCTCCTTCTTATAGTCCACTTTGGTATCTCTAATTCTATATATTTCTTAATTCCCTGTCTCCCTTCCCTTTTGCTCACTGGAGATTTGGGGTTTGTTATTGGGGAAGCATCTCACTGTGTTGATGGGGACAGTGTTGTCCTCACCAAAGTTTTTATAGTCAGTCATGCAGTCAGCTATGGCCTTTATTTCCTTTCCATGTGGCTGGCATAAAACATTTCAGTCCCTGGCCTCAAACAGCCCGACAAAGCTTCTTTAGCTTCCAATTTCTTACAGTTCTCTTACAAGTTCCCTTCTAATGAATGGATTTATATTCTGAGAACAGAAAAATAAGATTATCTGATCTTGTTTTACAAATGTATGAATCCTTAACATTTGCTGACAAGCTGTTGAGACGTTAGATTTATAGAAGCCCTTTTTTGAAAATCACAAAAGTTACTGTATTAATATCTGCTATTACTTTTGTGTGATGCTTTGCAATATACGATAAATGCATTCTGCCTTGCTTGGATCCAACATCCAGCAGGTCTGGAAACAAAACTGGTTGCCAAGTTTACTTTTGCTGACCTGCATAAAGTGTACCCACGTTCATGTCAGTGTGCGAGTTCACTCAGATGTCCCCATGAACAGGTGACCAAGAATTAAAAATAGTCCATATTTCCTTTGTCTTTAGAGCCCACACAGTGCATAGAGAGTGCACATGAGGTGCACTTCATGAGTTACATTTGTGCGTTTGTGACCTCTGGCATTTTTGCATGCACATTCATCCTAATATGCATTCATGCATGTGTGTCCAAAAGTAACACAGGAACTTTTAGTTGTAAGTGTTTGTCAATGTTCACACACAGTTTTGTTTTTTAAGCAACAGATGAAAGTGCTTTTTCACATGTAAGCAGAGCAACTTAGGTTAACACCTTGAGTTTGTTGGTTGCATACGTGAAAAAAAAAAAAAAATCCTCCCCCACATGCTCACATGCTGTACCTTTTAGACCCACTTTGGTCAAGGACAGGGCCATGATGCAGAAAATAAAGAAGAAACAATCAATATATTAGAGGTTCAATAAAAAAATAAAAAAAACCCTAAAACATAAAATTTTTTATTGCACATGACTGATTTGTCTTTTGTGTTAATTTGAATAAAAGTACATCAATGCATGACAGTGGAAAGTAGATTTGTTGTTTCCCTTTTTCTCAAATTGTTATTATTTTACCCAATTTTTGTACAGAACTGTTTAATGTCTTTGCATGGAGCTGGTCAAATTCAGATACTGTACATTACAAATGCTCCAAATGTTACAATAATTATTTATCGCCATCTGCTGGTGAACTGAAATAAAACAATAGAATATAAAGTAAATTATTTTTGGTTCAATGCACGCCCCTGGTAGATGTGTTATCTATTAGGGGCATGGTAGATAACACATTTTATATATCCATAATATATATATATCTATGACATTAGTTCAGTTAGTACAGACTGCTCATCTGGTGTACATGCGTCTTTTTGACTTCCTAGTTGAAAAAAAAAAAGTAATTCACTGTTGAACTTTTTGGTAGGTAAATCATTTATAAAAAATATCATTTATTTTGTACTTTTTTGCTGTTGTATAAATTATTTAACTCACTGCCAGGACAGCTTGCATTTCAAGTACAAATGTTAGTATGTTCTTAGCCCAAGAAGTAACTTCTAAGAAACCAATTTAGAATCCCAGAACAAAGAATAATGCAATTGATTTCACTTTATATATGTTTATATAAATAAAAACAAAAAAAAAAACTACAACAAATTTCTTCAAGCTTCATATGCATCTCATCTAAATTTAAGTTCTTGAATGATCTTTCTCTATATTAGTAAAAATAAGTTCTTCAATTTGTCTTCATGCAGCTTAATTTAATCTTTAGCTGTTATTACACTATGTCCCATCAAGTCATTTGTCTCTCCCTGCATAAAAATAGGTTTTATAAGTCCAATTATTGAGAACTTAAGTGCTTTATGTGAACATGTCAAGACCTGTCAAGTATATGGGGGATTTTAAGTTCTTGTTGCAAGTGTCAGTTTATCACTGTGCATTTGCTTCTCCACAGACAAAAGTCAGAGGCATCAACGTCAATCTCAGTGAATCAATGCAATGATAGAATCACATCTTTATTGACTTTTGTCTTTACAGAAAAAAAGTAACATCATTTATCACCAGATCATGCAAAGCGATATTGCATTACAAATAAAAACACAATACAAAACAAACAATAAATATCTATATATATACTGTACCATAAATATGGAGCCTTAAATAAATAAATGTTTTACAAAAAATAAACTTCTTGGGGTGACACAAACAAATACAATATGCTAAAAATTTACTTTCAACAGTACTGCAAGAGGATAAGCAGACTGGTTGAAATTATCTGCATTGTATGGGTTGTATTCAGATTGTTCTCTCTTTTTAAACAATGAAGGTTGGAGATGAGCTCCAGGTTGTGTTAAATTCACTCCCAACTACACAAACAAGGTTAGCTACAAACCCAACACAGAACATCATGCTCCTGACGGCAGTTTAAAAGCAACCTGGACCCAGACCACTGAAAGAACTCTTAAAATAACACACAGACAAATCCTTTATATTATTTATATAAGGAGGACAGCGCTCAACAGTCATGTCGAGGTGTTATTGCACTACTGTCTCAACGTCTTTTCAATGAGCGTAATTAACAAATTACAATACTGCTGATAGATCTACACAGAGGTGAAACGAGAAATCACCAGTCACAGCGACAGACATGAGTAACTGTTTGAAATGCATCCATTTAGTCAGCCAGTTACCTGCTCCCACACAGTACGGGTTAGACAAAGCCAGTTGCCTCGGAGTAAATGAATACATTTCAGTTTGTGATTGACCCAGGTCTGCACAGCTAGCGGACATAGCTGCGAATCGAGAACATGTTCACAATAAGGCTACAACATCTAGAAAGAGGATAGAGGCAACAGAGGGCAAAACTCAACACTGATAGAGCTCCCTTCTGATCCAAACGTTAGGTTTTGAGCCACTTTTAGGAGACATGCACGACTAGTGAGCACGGATGAACACACACACATACATATATCCAACTCCCACACAAAAAAGATGTAGTTCAAGGCCTTTTTTTTAGAACAAAAACGGGGAAGTCAAAATGAGCCTGGCAATCAGTAGCCAAGGGCCAGAGACAACACAGCTGGAGATACAGAGGAACAAACCTTTTAAAGATGTTCAAAGTACTATTCTTTTACTCACAAGGTGACAACATTTACAGTAGGGGGAACCATCAAACGTCAGATTAGGTAAAGTTTCTATAAATCTAGTCACTGAATGAAAGAGTTATGTCACTGAAGAAAATTGCAAAATTGCAGCTGGATATTTGTTTTCTTTTACTGGCTTATGTCCCTTTAGTTATATACGTTTAGATTTATATACTTTGTATAAATACTATATGTACAATCCATCTTATATCTTTCATGTTACTTTCTACAAGTCATTTAATGTTCTATGTGAAAATAAATAGATTTTGTCTACTGTAATATATTATGTACAGTGCCTTACAAAAGACTCATATCCCTTAATTACTTACTGATTAAATTTATTTACAATTATATAGACGACGTTTTTTTGTTGTCAGACACGGAATTTAGTAGAGATCAATAATCTGACGCATTTAGATGTATTAACAAAATTTGTCATAATTTGGCATTACTTCAAACATGTTTCAGGTGTGAATCTTTGCATATTTTGAATATGAATCAATAGGTACTAGTGCTATATATGCATCACTATAGCAGTGTAGCAGTTTGAGGTAAACTTGCACATAACTGAGAAATAATAAAAAATGGTTCACAGACTGACTTTTTTTTTTTTTTTGCAAAAGAAGAGGAAATTCTTATTGTGGTGGGGAAGTACAATCTGCCACTTTTACTGTAAGCCACCTAAATAAAATCCAATGAACACTTGACTTCAGAGGTCATCCAATTGGTAAGTGGAAGAATCTGCCAACAAAACAGCCACAGCTCAAATTTTGCTTTTTCCATCTATTTCAAATGACGCATTTCTTAGTGTTTGTCTATCACGTCCATATCCTGAAGTTTGTGGTGTCAATGCAACAGAATGTGAAAAATATCAAGAGATATAAGTATTTTTTGTCAGGCACTGTATCAATGACGTAACTCCTTCAAGACAGTCTTTGAATAAACTTTGTCTCCAATAGGCCTCACTGTTACCTGCACTGGGGAGATAAGAGAGGCGCTGAACAGGAAAAAGGATGTGGGGAATAAAGTACAACTGACACACAAACTTTAATC